AGCGAAATGAGCAGAACCAAGAGCACATTGTATACAGTCACAACATTGTTTTAAGAACAGCTTTAAGTGACTAAGTCATTTTAACTATTATAAACACCCAAATTAGTTACAAAGGATCTATGAAGGAAGATGCTAATACGCATCCAGAGAAGGAAATGATAAATAGAAGTATGTATGGAATGGTTTTTATATGTGTGTGTGTGTGTGTGTATATATATATATATATGTTTATGCCTAATGGTAGCTATCTCTTGGGTGAGATGGGGGAAGGAAGAAAAAAAAGAAAGCTATATGATAACTTTATTATATATGTAAAAAGAATAGCAAGTTGTATATAATAGACGTGCAGTTTCTTGTACAATCATCTTTTTTTTCCTGTTCTACTATGTTATGGAAATGTTTGTTTAATTTTTTAAATTCAGAATAAAATAAAGAAACATTAAACCCATAAAAGTGACTCCTTTTAAAAATTGAGCATATTTTGTATGATAAATATTTTGTAAACCTTAAAGACCTGTATAAATAAATGCTTGTTATTGTTATAAAAAATAGCAATTGCTACAAATTAGAGCTTTTAAGATTGTTTTGTTGATTGTCTAGACTTAAGAAAGTGTTCAAATGCAGATTAAACTTAAAATTGTGTATGTATCTTTAAAAAAACAGCAAGGACAGCAGCAATAATGACCGGTATTAATATAGGACTTCAACATTTGCAAAGCAGTTTACATATGTTAACTCATTTGAATGCACCCTAATTCTGGTTCAGCAGTCAATCAACAGTCCATCTCTTCAGCATGAGGTTAGCAGACCAGAACTAGTGACAGATTATCATGCCTTTCTGGAAGTAGGCTCCCCAGACTCTTCCACATGAGCTGGCAGCAGGCAGAGCATGTTACGAATGCTCTGAGAATGGTGCTCCACGTATATACAGGGTGTTCTAAAAGTCTTAGCGTAATTTTAAGCTTTAAAAGCATTTATATGTATGTGTGTATATAGACATATATTTTATATACATGATATATATGTCTGTAGACATATATGTACACAGATGAGTTTCTGGAGACAATGATAAAATCCAGTTGAGCAGCCAGTACTATATGCTATAACTCTGTTGGCAGATACTATCTTGCAACATAATGGATCTGAAAAAGTTTGGAGAATTTTTTTGCTCACTTAGCTCATAGCCCATATCGAGGACAACTGGGAAAATTTACTCATGGTATTCTATCAATACATAAAATGATACTGACTCCCCATTTTACTGAGAGGCTGCATGGCATAGTCAATAGAGTGCTGGCCTTGGAGCCAAGAAGACGTGGGATCAAATCCTGTTCTAACGAATATTGACTATGGGAGCCTGGGCAAGTAATTTATGCCCTCAATGCCGTAGACAACTCTCTAAGAATTTAAGTTGCTCAGGAGTTGCTGACTTGCATTGGTAAAGAATCTTTATGAAGGGATTCTTTGTATCAATGAAATCTCAGGTCCAGGCCCTTTTCTATATTCATTTTTAAACATATAGTTCACAATATTGCAAAATAATTTTTAGTGAGAGATGAAGGAAAGAAGAGAGAAATCATTCAGTGAACATCTATGAGCCCCAAAGACGTGTGCAAAATCACGGAGTCACTTACAGTTCCAAATAGGAGTGTTCCTCTGGCTGAAGCCTTTGCACCCATAAAACCTTTCTTTGATGCCTGGTCCCCCCTGGAGACTGGGTACAATTATTATTCTCTTAGCCACACTCTAGCTACATGTAATGGTGTCGCCAGTTCTGAGAAACTGTCAGCCAGATTACCAGTGTTTCAGGAAGTTAGAATGAAATTGATATTTCTATGCTATCTCCACGATGTAAGATAAATTTTTCTTGGAGTCCTTCTCTTTTCCTTGATTGTCTTTACTTTAACCTCTAGAGTTCTTGTCCTTTCTCTTCCAGTTATCAGTTCCAGCCCTATTCCTATGCAAAGCTTGGTGAAAACATACTTTATTTTCCCCAGTAACTCAAATAGGAAAGGGAGGTGGAGATATAGTACACCATGAGTTTCTATGTGGAATTATCTCTATAAAATGTCACTATGCAATAAGACTAGTTTTTCAGAGAGAGATAAAGTATGTCAATCAACCAACAAGCATTCATTAAGCATCTACTCTGTGTTGGATACTGGGGAATACAAGTACAAAGAATGAAGCAATCCCTTCTCTCGAGGAGGCTACCTCTATTGGTGGAGACAGTGTGTACATATAAAGTCTATAAAGAATAAATAAAAGTAAAAGGTATAAATAAAATAAATTTTAAATTATATACATACTGTGAAGGCAGTGCTTCATATGTAGCATGGGGCATTGTGGTATGTCTTGAAAGGAGGCAGAATAGACGTCTCTAGTCTCTCCCCTCTCTACCCTTATCCAAGGGGACTTTAATTCCTGCCATGAGGGGAAGCAGGAGTTTGGGGCCAGGTAGTTTGGTCCCTCTCCTCTCCTTGGACAGTAGAGGCACCAGGTTCAAATTATATCTTTCTATACTCTTAAATATGGTTAGTCTAGGGGATGTGGTTTTCAGGTTCAAACTAACTTCTGACAGCTAATTCTTTATTGGGGGG